CAAACAACGGCGCCTGACTTGGTTTCATTAAAATGCCCAAAACAGAATGTAAATATTTTCAAAAATATCTTTACTTTGGGAACTGGGCTGTCTGCAGACTGGTTGCAGGATAAATACAAATCGTGTATCACCTGGTTGAGGCAAACCTGCTTGCGAACAGGAATATGACCTTTGCCTCAGCAGTGAACGTTGCCAAATACCAATCTATAGATATTGCCTGTCGTTCACTGGACATCATTAGATTAGACGTTACGGTCGTGCCATATAGTTCAGTTGATGATCACACACACGCACACACACACACATCGCATGCTAGATCAGTCAATAAGACAGCTTGATGAAATGTTTAAGGCGGAAGTTGGAACGTTTTTTGATTCCATTTTTAGCTTTATGGACAGCAGAATTACATTTATTTAATACAAGTTGAACATTTTGCTTGAGTGGTCATCAGCCCTCATCAAGTGAATATTGAATCTATGTACCTTCTGAACCAAGGGTGTGAACTATTGACCATAAATCGAGGAAAACGTCCTTACAGTACTGGCTTGATTACGTTCATTAGTAAGCGAGAGCGAAGCTTTTCTATGTCGGCGAGGTTGCCGATTATCGAAAAATTAGATCAACTCTGGAAACTTCAGATGAAGTCAGTTGTCAGATAACGCAGAACTTCTTTAGGATCAGATTTCATCCCCAGTCTTTCCTGATTGCATCGATGGGATAGGTAGGGTGGGGTAGGCATGTAAGCATGTCACTGCCTCCACGATTTTTGCAGCTGCAGTGTCAGACGCATCTTGAGTCAGTTTGTTCGCTGTAGCCGCCTCACACATTGCTAACGGTGATTCGCCAGCTAGCACTCCTTATATGTTACCGCATAGACATAAAAAATATATTCGTTCGCCAAAGCTTGTCAACATCATTGAGCCGATGGCCGGCTTAAGTGGTCTCCTAGGCAACTTCGAGCAAGCAGACGGCGCAATACGTCAGGAAATCCGGTCTTTGAAGAGTTACGCGCTATTTGACAAATTCCGTTGTAAAAACACTTCAATGTTTATGCGAAACTCAGCTGTAAAAATCTGGGGCTTTATAGGCAATGGTTGTTGGCGTTAGGCTTTAAACTGTACGCTTACTTCGAGCACTTAATGTGATATCACGTGGGCAGCGCTGTTTACTGTAAATTGGTCGGAGTACCCCGGCATATTCTCAGTTCATGTCTTTTGATTCGAGTGAATCGATTTCTTCGCTCACACGCGTCCCCTAAAGGAATTTGAGCTTCTCATCCAGCCCAACAAGCCTACGTTACTGAATTGCAATGGCTCGATGTGTTGAAGGTTTTTTTAGTAATTACCAGCGCAACTGTTAAATCAGTCATTTGATACAGGTATTTGCGTTTTTGAACTCGAAGAAGCCGAAGTATTCAGTAGTTATTACTAGCGGCCGTAATATGGAATCACGCGCATTCCGCCAACGCCGTGAACAAAGTTTACATTGGTTGTTGTTATGGCTGCCATGTTTACAAAGTTGGCAGAAATTAATCGTTGTTTGATAGCGTGGGGGAGGTAATTCAGGTAGAACAACAGAGGTGGGATGGAATGAGAAACGTGCTGATGAAGTTGTTTGGCGAGAAACTGTTTGAAATGCAAAACGAAGCCATGTGTGCAACAGTGAGAGAAGTTGTTATCAATAAAGCTGGATGAATTCATCAGCAGGTACAAAGTGCATTGTTTTTGTTTAAGCATTCGCGATTACCCTGTAGTGAATGTAGAAAATGTGTTAAAATTCTCAGATTCTTCAGTGATCCTTTCGCTACACATTCTTTCGCTTTTTCCATTGAGGAAACAACCCTCGTTTCTTCGCTTTAACCATTAATTTTTAAAGTGACTTTCTAAATTCTTTTGTATATAATCCGCTTAAAACAGCAATGTGACTTTCTCTGACATCTCTGAAACTTATTTCAATCCTTTGTCTTTTTCTTTAGGAAAATTCTGCTTCAGTGGTTCTAGATACAAGTTTTAGACAAATGTAAGATCCTTATTTTAAACTGCCCTATTATAATGAGGAGTATCGTATGTCTGTTGCCTTGTATCTATAATCATTGAAGTGGCAATTTGTTGTATTTTAATTGTTTTTAATATTTTTCAACAAGCAAGTTTTTTGCCAGTTTGTTTTCTTGTTGATTGGTACAGTAAGCAAGTAAGTAACCGGAAAGTTATAATAAAAACTACCATCCTTCTGCTTATATACGAAGCCACTGAAGTGACAATTGACTGTAATTTAATTCTATTTGTAATGCCAATATTTTTAATATTTAGCATGCATGCTCATTGTATAATTTTGTGTCGGTTTATTTTCTCGTTGGTTGTTACGATAAGGAAGTATCCGATGATTGAGCATTTCGTTCGTCTATGCGTCTATACGACAAAAAGAACCTCTGAAGCCAGCCGGTCACTTTGCCTTGAAGAAGACCCGTGTCATACGATCCAAAATGTCAGTCATCTGATTGAGTCATTTTGTTGCGTTGTGTATAAATAAACTGTTTTACAATATTTACAAGTAAGTAAACAAGTAGGTAGGTAAATAACTAAATATATTCATAAAAAGATAGTAGGTTAGTCAGTAGGTAGGTTAGAACTTTAGCCAGTATTATGTTAATAAGTGAGTAGTTAGGTAGCAAGAAATTTTGCCTCAATAACCGAAGAATTTTAGCCATTATGGTAATGTAATTCCTTATGTGCGTAAAATATTCTTTTTCGTTACCGAAGCATTAATCCTTTGATGTCTATTCGTACAACAAACAAACGTCTTTACTCCGTGGCTGTCTACCTGCTAGGGAGCATATACTGGCTTTTTTTTCCTTTGGTGTAAACTCGTTTACTACGTTATTGCATACTACTATACTATGCATACTTACATTTAGCTCTGCATACTATACATATAACTGTGCATATATATAATACGCTACTTACCATATTCTTTAATTATGGCACCATATGAACGTGAATAGGGCTTTCTTGCTGAATAATTAAGTAAATTAGTTGTTTCTTCTTTTTCGACTAATGTAGTTGTTTTGGTGAAAAGTAGATCCTGCTTGAAGATCTCCGGGACAATCTCGTCGTTTTTACTTCTTTGGAATCTACCTTTATTTGATGCGATTATAGAAGTACTGCTAATGGCTGAGAAAAGTTTTGAATACAGACCATTTTCTGTAAACTCGCAATGTTCATATTTTAATAATGCATTATCAAGGCATTATTCCTCAGAAGCTGGAAAACCATCGAAGAACTTATGTTTTTTGACTTGCATAATTAGAACGTCGTTGGTTTGGGATATTTGTTATGTTAAGAGGGTTGAGTACCTTTGCTATAACACATAGCTTACTGGAAGAGTTGCCCTCGAACACAGATACGTTTTTACATTGTTTATCCACGTTGGACGATGGTTTCTTGATCGTCGTTTGCCGTGTTTCGGTTTCCTCACGATTTGCTTATGGCTGGAGTAAATGGCTTGTGCTTGACTAGTGTATCTAACAGGGCATGACTCCTTTTCCTGATGTACATCTACCAATTTATTATGAATTTGTGTTTCAAAAATGGAAGACAGTATGTTCTTACACGGGGCTGCGCTTTATCGCTGATTACTTCTCCATTACGGTCTAGTCTTGTGGATTATGCGTCGCGCAGGAATATCAAAAACAGTAGCAACAATTAATTGATCCTTCTTCATAATTAACGATCCTGCATTCTTAACAGTTCTGATTCTTTTCTCGTTATTACCCGTGTTTCGCAGCCATACACGTTATTGACCATGTCATTAAATAATGATTTTTTTAAAAATAAACTTTACTAAATAGACTGTACAGCTGTAAACAGTTGAAGCAACAGTTCAGTTTTAAGTTTACCCTTAGAAGAAATCTTCGTAGATCTATTCTAGACTGTCCGTATAGGTTTGCTGATGAATGCTCGTTTGGCCTATCCAATTTTTTAGTCGCTGTCTGTCAATATGGTCGTTTACTTAAAGTTGTCGGCACCTAAAACGATGTTCCTTTTTCATAAAGAATACCGTTGTAGCATGCGAAAGCTTTACTTATTAACTACTGTTACTTCTAACCTTCTTTAATTTATTGACAAGGATAAAACGGTTTCTTTATACACAATGCCAAACAGTTGGTCAATTGAATGATTGATTAGTATAGACGGTTTGGCCCATGTCTTACGAGTCTTCCTCAAGGTATGGGGTTGATTTGGTGTAGGAACTCCTTCTTGCTGTCCTCGGCACTTCATAAACCAGAAGGCAAGTTACATTCACTCTTGAATGAAATATGAAGTAACTCAAGTTCAGCGATAGAACAATGAACAAAACAGTAAATAAAAGTATGACACAATTCAACAATAGAATAATCAGATGCAAGACTGGAATATGACTTTGAATAGGATAAAGAAACACTCGAAAGAAAAACAGTTATTGTATTCGAAACAGAAGGTATAATCCATAAGCTTATAACTGGCGCTTTCTCTGTTCTTACGTGTTGTGCTTTACTCGATAAGTTATTAAAAATAAGATTGTTTCGAACAGTCACCAGGCCAAAGCAGCATGACCTGACCGAAGCAAAGTTTAGGCTTATTGTGTGGAAATTGAGATTCCTGCTACTTTCGAGTCGTTTTGATAGATGTCTGATATATTACCGTAAACACTCAAAGCAAGATCGACCTTCTAGTTTAGCCGTGATCTATTGGTACCCTCGCTGGAGACGATGTTACCAGTGTAGTTAAACGGATTAGTCGAATTTGTTAATCGTCCCATTTCTCTGTGTTATATTGGTTCACTGTACTCTCTAGTTTCTGGATGATACCGAAGACCCCTACTTAGGTTCGACTGACTGAAGCATTTAGCATATCATTTATTGCCTTGGGTCAGACTACTGTTTAGGAACTAGTGGGCAACATACTTTCTTTGTAATTATTGTCGTCATGAATGACGGCCGGGAGACAGTGCTTTCAGCAATGATGTTTGAGATGACGACGTATCGTTGTCTTTACTCGTTCTGTGGCCGATCCGCCATCTCAGTGTCATCTTTACAGTTGCAGCCCCTCCTGCTGACACACCTCTACCATTTAAAAGCCATCTGGTAACTCATCCGCACCTACTTGACTCTATGCGTCTGCGTCCGTTCGCACTGTGAGCGCCATCTACCGCCATTCGTATCAACGTAAACACTTCTTGCATGTGTCATGGCGTTCGCGATGTGACAACAGGTTTCTTCGTCGTTTGTGTGTTGATCGGTCGTATAGGTCGTTTGTCCGGCCGGTTGTTCCATATTCAGCCCGCCGTGTGTCGTCGTCCGTCCACGTATGTGCGTGCGTGACCAGTGAAGTGGTTGTCGGTCGGTCGGTCGGTGTGCAGCTAACGAGGACGAGGATGTGTCGGTCGAGGTCATCATCGTTAATTGTCGGTCTCTTCCGAAGGTAGTGGCGGTGGTGAGCGTCGTCGTTCGTCCGTCCGTCTGTCAATCCGATGATCACAGTGGAGGTTGCTTTGCCGAGGGTCCCTCTGTTGAACTGTTTCCACGTTCATTCGTGCGTTGACACTCATTGATCCAATCCAATCCGATCCGATCCTGTCCGATCGCTTGTCCCCTCCGCCACTGACTGAGTGACGACGACTGGCTGACTGACAACCAGCCCAGCTGACGACGACTGACGCACGACTCGGCCGGCATCACGGGCCAAAACCAGCACGCATGATGCGTTGTGCTGCGTCTTCGCCGCCGCCTCCTCTTCGCTCTTCTTCCGTCTGTTCTGCCTCTTCTTCCACCTCTGCAACGCGCGTCCGATGGGGTAAGTTTAATGAGGTAGGTCTGTTGTGGTAACTCGTCGCCAACTCGGTTGCACCTGCTTCCTGTGTTCTTGAACGTTGCGGATTCCGCGTCTGTCGCAACGGATTA